AGCTTTCCAACCCATCTACAAGGCTACGAGTTCACCGCTTCCACTTTCAGCTCTTTTATCTTTTCCTGCTTGTCACCTGCTTTTCCGTACTGAGCTACCCCCGTGTTTAATGGCCATGCACTCAAGAACCTCACCCCACTACACATGGTTTCCAGAAGACCTCCAAGGGTGATTCATAGAAACCAATAGACACATGAGGGAGGCAATTTCTGTTTTATGGCAAACATGTAGTAAAGGCAAGGCCTGCACACCACAAGCTTTACTAGCACTTGTGCTGCTAGAACCAACCCAGAAGCCTTACTAGTTTTTGACCTCCTGTAAACAATCTCCATAGCCACCAGAAATTATTCCAGGGTGGTTCAGTTGTGGTAGAGGCCTAGAATAACCCTGCCTGCCACTATGCCTCACCCAAAACCCATCAAAAAAATCCTTAGATTGTAAGTGTTGATTGTGTTTGAACTTGAGCCAGCTGCCATGGTGAGACATGGTGAGCATGCAAACCAATTCCGACCAAATATTATTCCAGGGTACCGTCCACATTCGGACCTTATTGTTCCACGGTACCATCGACCCACACCAACATCAACATGGTGGTTTTAATATTCCCAAAAAGAATATTCGGAAAAATAGGAGGTGACCCTACCCTGGAATATTTTACGACGGGAGGGCCCATTGTTTCTGCCCATTAATTGTTTGCATGTTCTGAGCAGAGCAATTTCAGGAAACCCGAAACTCTACGGGCTCTACGACTCGGTAACAAAATATCATGCATTAACGAGCTTTATGGCGTATTCTACTTGAAAGCTGCATGCGACCCCACAAGCAAATCAGCAGCTCCTTCCTTTCATAGCCCCTCAAAAAAATCTATATAAATATATATTTGAAAAGTTGTCTTGATTGAGGGGTCCACGCAAAAGTAAAATCCTCCGAATCGTTGACATTCCACAGGCATGTATGCGCGCGTTGGATTGTGAGGCCAGCTGGCGCGGCCAGCTGGCAGCCGCAAATCAACATTGCCGCTCAACTCTTGGGCGGGCGTCAACAAGGCTGACAAGGCTCTTAAACTTACCAGTCATCTCAGGACCACAAAGTTCCACCTCTCTTGTGCTCGGTGTGATCTTTAGCACTCTGGAAGCACTTCCTGACAAGAACTTCATGGAAGCACCCTGCTACACACAACTCCATCCAGGCATGTTGGACTTGAGATTTACAGCTTCAACAGTCAGAGTGCAGCCGCTTGCTCATGCTTGGGAATTGCCAAGCGCATTGAGAAACATGCCAAAATGCTGCTTCCGGCCAACTAGATGAATGACAGTAAATCACCAAAGGCCATGTAATAGTTTATTATAAACATAGTAAAAAGGTAGCTTTGATTCATCTTGTATTAACATCTACTGTTGTAAGTCCTTGAATCGGATCCAGTGCGTATTGTTCTCTGAAAAAACCATTCAGAAATGTGAATTCGTACCATGCTTCACGAAAAGCGGTCCTGTTTTCTTGAGCCAAACACGCAAGCAGTTAAGCCTGTGGTCTTGTGTACCTAGTCGTACACTTCTCGTTTTGTGCGTTCTGTTTCAAGATCCGCACTCCCCCCGTCCTTTTCAGGACGTTACATTTGCCTCGGCCCTGTTCGCACGAGGAACACAGAAAATCCCACCCAGCTGCCAGGTCCCGGCAGCTCGGCTCGGCGCCAATCACTGTCGATGACGACGCGGCGGTGCCACTCAGTTCCCTTCCATGCCACCGTGATCCTCATGAACTCGAGGTTCTCGATCTCTTCAGGGCAGCTGCGGTGCTCTGGATGGAACCTCTGCACCCCCGCACCACCATGATAGCGGACCAGCCACCTGCAGCCATCCATGGTCAGGTGATCCCACCTGTCGCTCTTGAGCGTTATCTTGTAAAACAACGCTTCTTCTTCCACGAGATCCTGCACGGCATTCAGGATCTCAGGTGTCCAAAACACGGAGTTTTGGAACTCTAGCTGGTCATCCATCAGGCCCCCAACCGGCATCATGAGTTGCGCCGGCGGAGCCTTGCCAGGCCGGTTCCACGGCCTTTCAGTGGCCGGCTGCTGCATTCGCTCCAGCGTTGGAGGTCCCGTAGAGCTCGAACTCCTCATAGCGGCTGCAGACTTAACTTAGAAACTCCTTGAAGAGTGGTTCCCGCAGCCTTGGAGGTGTGGCCCATTGCAGTCCCCATCGCCTTCGACGATGCCATCGCAGCCTGCCCTCGTTCAGCAGCTTCGCTTGGCCGTGAAGATGCACTCGATGTAGACCCCGCATAGCCACGTGGCTGAAAAGGTGCAGGTTTAGGAGGTGGCACCGGAGGCCGCTTTGCAGACTTCACCACCAACCGTTCATTCGGGATGAGGCGAATCGTCTGTGTCTCCATATCCACCTCTTCTGGACGCAGCGTCCGAATGCCCTCACTGGTGACCACCATTGGCGGTCTTGTCACGTCGTAGATGCCCGCGTCCATGGCCTCCTGCGTCACCCTGGAGTTGGTGTAGTGCACCTCTTCCGGCTGCCCTTGATCTCCTCCAAGCCATTCGCGACCACCTCGGAAGACAGCAGGCAGCCTCATCTGGATGCGTCCCCGCACGCCATGGCTCGCATTCGCCGCCTCCACTTCGAACACAGTGGAGTTGGGAGCCTCTAGGCTACGGTTGAAACCCCCAGGGCCTTCAATTTCCGAGACACGTTCCCCTGGAGGTGGCGTGCGGCCCAACGCCGATGAGTTTCTGGCCTCTTGAACGTTTCTTATGTTTTCTTGACTGGTTCGTTGTTCTGACCCCTCTTGCTTTTTCTTCCCTTGCCGGCGAAGGCCGCAGGGCACACAAACGAGGTTGCAACCGGATGGAGTGTTCAGTAAATCTCACTTGTTGAATTCCCGGATCTTGGCTCCTCGTCCAAAAACCACTGCTAAAACCCCGGCTCACTTCGTAGGCCAGCCCAATCGCAAGCGCCGCTGCCACCGCCGCCTTTGCAGTGTAGGAAGGCCAGGTCATAGCCGCGCACCCAGCCAGACACGCAGCAAGCTTCGCCACCCGCACCATGGATTCCACCGCGGCCTGCGAACCCTCCCCATCCTCGGCAGCCACCCCACCCTGGTTCTCGACCTTCAGGAGGTCCAGAAGCGGTCCCAGGAAGCTCGAACCGTGATGCTCTTGGTCAGGTAGTCGGCGATCAGCTGCGTGCCCGCCATGTGGAAGATCTTCCATCGCGCCTGTTGAGCTCGTTCTCGAAGCACGTTAGCTTGGAGTCGAAGATGCCTGGTGCGCCATGGACCATCAGGATTGCGCACGATGGAGATGGCAGCCTGCAGCGAATCCCCCATAGTTAAGGCCTCCACGTATAGGAGTACAGTTCAGCTTCCGCCGTTGACAACGCCAGACACGATTGGCTGGAAGTTTCCCACTGCACAGTGGCGCCTGCAATCATCGCCACGATGCCTTGAACACTTTTCTCTCCTTGCGGCACATAGGAGATGTCACTGAAGAGCTCCACCAACGATGTAGAGCGCTCCAAAGGAAGATCACCATGAGGTCCACGATCACCAGGATCACAGGGGACATAGTGCAGGAAGTAGTCCATTGTGCCATTCAGGTACTCCAGAACATGTTGTCCTACCCGGAGCACCCACTTCGGCCGTTTGGTGACCTCCTTTCCCATAGCGCTGATGGCATAGGACAGGTCAGGCCGGCTGCGAATGGCCACCCATAGGATCTCCCACAATGCCCTGCGCCTACCCCTCTGGAGGAGGTACAGCGTCCTTCGGGAGCGGAACCGTCTTCTTGTCCACGATGTTGTGCCTCTGCAGCAGCTCACCAAGTAGGAAGGTTGGCCCAGCAGCAAACCCCCTTCATGGCTTTTGAGCTCGTACCCACAAAACCTCACCCAGCTGGTCATCCACCGTCTCTGGCGTTGACGTTTTCCACCTGGACTGGATACACTTGAGAAGCCCAAGTCGAGCCACTGCATCTCCCATGACGAGTGGGTCGTCGACGTACACCAGGAGAAGGCCTCTGACCACACGCGTCTCCTTCAACACAATGCGCCACAAGTTGCGCTCCTTGGTCTGGATCAGGTGGTAGGCGACGTTGTTGTGTCCTCCCACGCCAGCTCCTGCAGGACCTGATCCCTGTAGATCGCCCAATACGATGGACTCGTATTGAACCCGTAGAGGGCTTTGCGTATGAGCCAGACCTCATCCGGTTCACAGACTCCAAGTCCACCATCACCTTCAGCGGCTGAACGGCCACGGGCTTGCCAACTGGTTGATGTGGTCGAGGAGCTTGCAGAAACGCGGACTTCACGTCCAATGAAGTGATCTTGACTGGCCTCCAACAGCGATGCCCGAATGAGCACCCCATCCGCCCCACTTGCGTAGGAGCCACCAGGCAGACCTCCAGGAGGTGGATCAGCTTGCTCCGAAGCCAGGTTGCCGCAGATCACCGCCCTCGATCTCTTGGCCCCCGTGCCCCCTTTCTTGCAACAGACCATCTTCTCCGGAACCAGCTCCGTGCCCGGCGCCAACAAGTGCCTCTTCGTAGGGACCACCGCCTCAGTCTTCCTGACCAGCACGTCGTACTCATACTGGAACGAAGGCCTCCAGGCGTCAGCATTCTCCCACACCTCCGAGAGCGGGACGGTCATGGTCTGCAGGATCTGTTCCTCTTCTCCACCTTGTCGATCTTGAGCTTGAAGAGCACATAGTCGGATGTTCCCGACTCAACTCCACCAGCTGACCTTCCATCTCATCACGCCAGCCCAGGACCTGCCAGGAGGTGATTCACCAACTCACCCTGCACCGCCTCCTGCTCCTCCGTGGTCGGCACTTGGTTGATGCACCCCAGAAGCTGCTCCTGTAGGCACCCCTGTTGATCACCCCAGGAATCCTCCAACTCTTGCGCTGACAGCCCTCAACGTCCGCACACCCTTGGATGATGACGATGTAGTCGAGATAGGAATGGCCAGAGGGTCATCTCTCCAAATCACAGCTCCCCGGGCCTCGTGTCTCCAGCTCCCGCAGTCTCACCAGCAACTCCCCCAGGACCTGCTGCGCCCGAAGCTGTGCCCAAAGCTGTTGAAAAAGAAGGAGAAGAAGTCCCCCCCGCTGTTGGCATAGTCGCACCCTGTTGTCCTCCGGCTTGAGGAAGGCGTGGTTGTCCATCCAATGGCTGTTTTCCCCACATGCGATGATATGGCTGGCCTGGTCGTGGCTCCTCCTCCAGCTGTAGGCGGACTGCGGACTTGTGCTTGTTGATCTTCCAGTTCTCGACGTAGATCCTCCCCCTCGGTGTTCGGTTGTACAGCTTCTCGAACATGAAGGATCTTGCCATCCTCTGCCCTTCACAAATGGTGCCATTAGCCCCCCCTCCTTATGCCACTTCTTCGCCTTCACATACACAGTGGCATAGAATGGCAGCATAGGCAATGTTGGAACTCCAAGCTCCTCCAACTGGCGTCTTCGCCTCTCCTCCACCGCGTACCTCATCGCCGATGGCCAGAGTTGACCTGCACATTCGTGTTGCGCCAGCAGGAGCCTTGCACGCCTTTTGACTTGGTTCACCTCAGCCTCTACATGGCCATTGGCGGCAGGGTTGTCTCCTCCAGTGGATGTTTGTACAATCCCCCATCGTCTGCACCATGCCTCCACTGGGATGTCCCCTGAAGATCTTATTGTTTATCAGGAGTTACTAAAGAAGTTATAAAGTTTACAGGACTTAGCTAAGTGGTTAAGTTGTGAGTGAAAAGCTAGCAACTTAGCAGGTTTGCTAACTGGTTAGCTAACTGGTTAACAGTTTGTATATAAAAATGCACCTCGGTTAGGTTTTTGTGTTTTCTTAATCAAAAAATATACATTTACATAAATATTCACAGTGTCTTTGTATATTCTCCCTGATAGACATGCTTGTGAATTGACTGTTTTCTGCTTCAAAAAGCAAAAACAATTTTGTGTGTTCATGTGAAAACACATTCAAGTGTGCCTTGGAATGTGAATCCATTGTCCAGGCTTTGTTGTTTCCAAACACAAACAGAGTTAATCTCTATTTGTGTTAGTGTAAAATATTTTGGTTTTGGTTCCAGGTGTAGTATGTATAG